AACGATTGGAAATTCCTGAATATTGTCTTGTAATGGATGTCAAAACTAGATGGAATAGTAGTTAAGAAGAAAAGGTACCTTGAACAAGAGACTGCTGTAATAGCTTCCCTTATGGCACCAGAAGAGAAAAAAAACATGCAAAAGATTTTGTGACTTCGTCAGACCAGATGTATGTAATGCGAAGAATATCGTGGCAGTTTTGGAGCTATTGCAGAAAATCAACAAATTTCTGTATGATAAACAGTTTCCCACCATCTCACTTATCTATCCAATGAAATTATCCAACAGATAATGTAAGTAAAGGATATAGATGCTTCACTTGTGAAAGATGTCAAAAATGCCATCTCAGAAAATGTCAAGAACAGATATGAAAGAATTGACATTAAGAATTTCTTACTTGAAGCAGCTGCCCTATGTCCTAGATTCAAAGCACTACCACAAGTATATGAAGATAGTGCCACCAAGTTCACCTGGAAGTAATGCTGAAAGCTGTCATTCTCTCTACTTCAAGCAAAGTTGTTATCAAGAAAGAACCAGAAGGTGAACCTCATCCTGATCAACCTTCTCTTCCTGACATGCCTCAATCTCAGTCTAATGACAATGCTACTACTGGTCCCACAACTACAAATAACAATACTAAGAAGTAAACTGTAATGGAAATATACTTGATGATGTGTTTGTCACAAAAATTTAAAAGCCAAAAATGTTTTATATAAGGACAAAAGAGGAGCTTCACTCTTTCAAAGTAGAACCAATTGTTAATTTAACCTTTAACCCCTGGAATGGTGTCATAGTGAAAATAACTATCCCATCTTAGCAAAAGCTGCTAAGTATTATTTTGGTGTTCCTGGGATAAATGTACCAAATGAATGTGTGTTTTTTACAGCAGGGGACATTGTCACAGCCAATAGATCAGCTTTGACACCAGAGCATGTTGACATGAGTGATTCTGTTAGACTGTTACTCAGTAAAATATGATATTGTTATTAACATCTCTTTGACATTGATCTGTTGTTTGGAAAATACTATCAGTAATCAGTAGTATTGTAAACTGTTGCATAGTTTACACAATGTTGAATGTTCAGACTAGTTCTTAAAGTTTTTATGCATAAAATGTTAAAAAGTATCCTGTTGAAAATATACAGTTGTATTATTATTATTATTTTTTAAATTAATCATTATTTTTCTAGAATTTGATAGACACGTATATGAATTGTAGTGTTTAGTTATGGTATTGAGATATGTTTCATATTGTAAGCTGAATGTTGAGGTACATGTAATTTCACCTCTAGCCTTTGCTGAGTCAGTCTGAGTGAAAAGTGATTTTATGCTAAGAATAAAAATATTCTTCTCATCTTAGTTTTCATATTTCATTTGCATAACCTCTAAGACTTCTTAAATAAATATCTAATCTTTCTTGTGTAGAACTTTACATTTTATCTCTATCATAACACTAATTGTGTCAATATAATCAATTATATGAAATGAAAAATTGAAAATCAAAAAATTATATTTTACTATAATGATTGCAGGTTGTAACAGACAATTACGATTATTTGTCCTAACATCTGCACCTTTCTAATCTATGCAATGACGAACATGTATGACATACACAAACAACTCTTAGAGAATGTTTCAACAACCATAAATCTTCTATTAACAATGAAAAAGATCTCCCTGTTGCTCAACACTTTAACCAACCCGGTCATTCCATTAATGATGTTACTCTCATCGGCATTGAAACAGGATTCAAAACTAAACCAGATAAAGAAATAAAAGAAGCTTATTGGATCGCTAATCTAAACACTGTTCAACCTTTCAGAATTAATCTAGATCCTGGAATCGGTGATCTCCATTCATTGGTTTAATCTCTGTCAGCAAAATAATTTTAATTCTTTGCATATATTTTTCATGTAATGTGAACGCTGAATTTCCTAAAACTTGCTATTTATTTAAGATAA